TATTTAAAACAAAAAACAACAAAAAGTCCATCTGACGGAGTTGACACAGAACTGAAGGTGGTGACTAGTGAGTAAAATGAAATACTTGATACATATGAAGTAATGCAATTTACATACATTAAAATGAATTAACTGCACATTTAAGTGACATTTGTCAACACCATCACTGAGTCACAAAATCTCTGATGGAGTTGACATCTGATTTATATGATGTTATTCTGAAGGAGTCCATATTGTAGCTCATCAGGTCCATGAAATCTTTACAATATACCAAAATTAAGTTTTTATTTCATCAAAGTTTTGTAAATTGTCAGTTATGGTGTTGACAGCAACTTAGGAATAAAACAGTTGTTGGGTGCGTTTGGATTCGGTATGAGAATGAACTGAGTGGGTGGAGCTTATCAGATCGCGGTTAGTTTATGAAGGTACAACTTTTTCGCTGTTCTCATGTAATTTTTTCTTATACTCCCCCTTTATCATAGGGGCAACGGTATCTGATGGGTGAAATATGGCCATATTTGATGCCTATAATATGGCGAAATATAGGCATCACATACCGTTCCCATAGGTTAAACGGAGCTGTGTGAAGCTGACACCCCACCCACAAAAAAATCCAGCAAATAGTCTGAATGGTTAGTGGATCCGTTTGTACCGTTAAAATTTTCGTTTGTGCAGTTTTGGTTTCTGAGATACTAAAAATAATTTCTTAGGTCATCCAGAGTTCACCATCTTGCTCCAAAACAAAGTTGGTGGCGGCGACGTAACAGCGGGAAAAAGAAAAAAATGTTGATGTCTGGAGCAAAATTGGGGCGGCTGGTGACGTCATCGGCCAAAATTATAACTTTTAATTTCTCGAAAACGAAAGCTGCACAAACGAAAATTTTAACGGCACAAACCTGCACAAACGGAGCACTAACCATCCAGACTATTTGCTGGATTTTTTTGACGTGGATGGGGTGTCAGCTTCACACAGCTGGGAAAGCTTATCTGATGGGTAATATTGAGCATCGTGCTTTTTCAGTGCTCATCACGTGCACGAGCGTATTTTTCCGCGTGGTCGGGGCGGGGCGGAGCGGCAAGAAGACGCAGGGGGATCCGTATCTGATGGGGTCTCAAGGACCGACTTTGGACACCTAAATTATCAATTTAAAAATTTAAATATATTAGAATAGTTTCATTTTAATACATTCATGTAAAAGTCGAGTTTATTGGTAAAAATTAGAAATAACCCATTTATTGTGAAACTGAACCGGGGAAATAGCACCGCCCCCTTCTCCAATCCCATGTATTAAAACGAGCGCTCCCAACAGGAGGGACTGTGACGCTGAGCGAGACTTGAGTAAGTAACAGACACTGAAAACATGAAGGATTGACAAGAAAACTTCCTTCGGAAGAGCTTCCTGGTCCTGTCTCCTGAATACAGGCACGTTGTTGTAAAGGTATTTGTGTTTTGGATTAACTATAGCAGCCCAGGCTGTGTAGCGTTATCTTTTAAAATGTAAAAGACAGATTTTCAGCGTCCAAACCCGACCGCTGAGCCCTTCTGATTTAAAGGTTCAAAAGATTAATAGTTGTAACACTGTAAACCATCAGTTATGTTAGCCTATCAATCAGTTACAATGTTTAAATCTCGAAGTTTGTTTGTGTTTATTTTTAATTTTCCAATAAATTGTTTCCGTCTCACAAACTCAGTTCAGGAAGGATGTCCAACCTATTTTGTCTGCTGACCCCTGAAAAAGATTCAGGTAATGTGCAAAAGTTTTATTTGTAGTTTTTTTTTTATTATTATTATTTTTAGACATTTTTCTGTTTAGGTGCAACTGGGTGGCTGTAGTCTTATAAACTAAATTTAGAAGCAATACAATTCTTATCTTATACCATGATGCAAATCATAATATTAAGCCTGACTTCAAAGATAGTTTGAAATAATGTTTCAGTGTGTTTTGTCATTTGACATCCATCCATTTTCCTTCACCCTTGTCCCTCAGTGGGGTCGGGAGGGGTGCTGGTGCCTTTCTCCAGCTCACGTTCCGGGCGAGAGGCGGGGTACACCCTGGACAGGTCGCCAGTCTGTCGCAGGGCAACACAGAGACACACAGGACAAACAACCATGCACACACACACCTAGGGGCAATTTGGAAAGGCCAATTAATCTGACAGTCATGTTTTTGGACTGTGGGAGGAAACCGGAGAACCCGGAGAAAACCCATGCATGCACAGGGAGAACATGCAAACTCGATGCAGAAAGACTGGGGCTGGGAATTGAACCCAGAACCTTCTTGCTGCAAGGCGACAGCTCTACCAACTGCGCCACTGTGCAGCCCCATTTGACATCCAAAAGATCTTTATTATTGCAACAATCAGATCTTTCTTTCTCAGTTCCTCTGAAGAGCATTGATGCTCTGCTGGAGGTGAAGGACCATGTAGCTACTCTGGTCTCCACTCTTAACTTCGAGAACAAGGAGGACAAACCTCTGGAGACCGTTTTTGTCTTCCCTCTGCCTGGAGATGCTGCTGTGTGTCATTTCAGTGCTCAGATTGGAGAAACACACATTGTAGCTGAGGTGATGAACAGACAGCAGGTGAGCTGGACTCAAATGTCCTCTCTATAAAGGAGCTAAATCACAGTGAAGTGGACATTGTCGACATGTTTCTTGTGGACTGCAGGCTCGGCAGGTGTATGATGACGCTTTGAGCTCCGGTCAGAAGGTATTCGAATTGGAGGAGAGTGACGAGAGTCCCGATATCTTCTCTCTGACCGTGGGCAATCTGCCTCCAGGAGAGAGCGCCACCATCAGGCTGGAGTACGTCACTGAACTGGCTGTGCAGGCTGATGATGGGCTGAGGTTCTGTCTGCCTGTTGTTCTCAACCCTCGATACCAACCTCAGGGTAGGATAATACTTAGCAAAATACTTAAAAATGCCAAACTTCACACAGTTGCTCCTGCCATCCACTGTGGAAGAAAATGTTGGATAATGAGCTTTATTTTAGGAATAAATGGCTCTTTTTTCATCATGGTGTATATTCTCACACATTACTGGAGTTCTGAATGAACAAACACAGAAAATCCTGAAGTGTTTCTGGGAGTTTCTACCTTTACCTAAGTTTGGGGCCATACAGTGGTTGAAATTTCCACGGTGTGTAATGTTCAGCTTTATTACACAACACAAGGTAGTCATTTCCTGTTATTGCAGAATAGCTCCAAGCAAATGTCGCAAGTATGAAATATTTGCAGAATACAGTGTCAGCAAACTGAGCCAAGTTACTTACGGCGATTCTTTCTTCTGTCCAAGAAAGACAAACGGTTGAAAGCAGAAGTTTACATACACTGAAGAAAAAAAGCCACATGCACCTTTTTTCACTGCCTGAAGTTACATCCAACCAAACTGCTCTTGCTTTAGGTTAGCTAGAATTACCAAAATGATTTCTATTTGCCAAATGCCACAATAATGAGATGAATGATATGTAGGTGATTTATTTATTTATTTTTTATTAATGTCTTTCAGAATCAGAAGTTAATATACAGAATGACTGCTATTTCTTTAAACGGTCAGAAGAAGACCAAGTGATGAAGTCATTGCTTTGGAAACCCTGGGTTAATTGGAGGTACAACCGTGGCTGTGTTTTTATCAGTGTCTGTGAATTTCTGGTTTCATTGGTACAGTAGGATAGTGCTGGTTTAGGTTGTAGAAGCCATGAGGTTCTTTGTAATGTAGCATGCAAAGTATGCCAACTCTATCATTGAAACTTATATCCTGTTTAATTTTACAAACTGCAACGACCTGGTGATAAAAGTGTGCATTTCTTCAAACTATTTTTTTTTAAACCTTCAAAGATTAAAATGTTTTGCAGCTGAATTGTACAGGATAAAACATTAAAGGTGGATAAAGTTCTGAAATTACTCTTCAAAATTGACAGGGGTGCTAACGCTATTAAAACGCACTGTCTGTCTGTTCTGTCTCGTGTTTCCAGGTAGTGAAGGTCCCAGTGTCCAGGTGACCTCAGTTCCAGCCTCTCTGGTGCCCTACAGTCTGTCATTTTCTGCCAGAGTCTCCTCTCCTCGTCCAATCTCTAAAATAGAGTCTAGTTGTCCTCTGGAGCCTCTTCAGTACCTCAACGCTGATCAAACTCAGGCCACGGTGAAGTTGGCTACAGGACACAAGATTGACAGAGACGTTGAACTACTCATTTACTACAAAGACGCCCACCGGCCCTCTGCTGTGGTGGAGGCAGGACAGGCCTCTGCCAAACCTGGTGGGTAGAGATTGTTCATGATTTGTTTGTAAGATTAGGAGATGTTTCATCTCTTTTAAACCAGCTTAGAAGTATTGTAAAAGGTTTGCAGCCGCCTGTGTTTGTAATTATCGCTCTGAAGCACAAGTATGAGGAACACTTTTTATGCACCATGTGGAGAATTTTCAGGGTTGGCATTGCTGTTTGAAGGTCCACTACGATGTCAGTTATCTGTCTCTCCTGGTCAAGTGAAGGAGCAAGCATGAACAATGCCACTACCATGACCCATGTCTCTAGCTAATTGTGTTTCTGTTACAGTTTGTCAGATAAAAAAAAAAAATCTTAATATGAAGCCGTCATTCTGGAATCTCAAATTGAGTTTTAAAGAGGGTGTGTTAGCATGGATAATTCCTAAAAAGAAGAAAAAAAAAGTATTTTATACAGATCATGGATAAATGTCATAATATAATGTGTTGTACCAGATTTTAATGATAAGCTAATTCACATCTGCAGATTCTATCAAAAAACTGGTTTAAGAAAACAAATTGAGAGTCAAAAAGTAGCAAGGTTAATTCCCACTTCTAGTTTTAGTGATTACACAGATTTATTAAAATCAAACATTACAAACAGAAATGAAGGAGATAAAAAACTATAATAAAAAAATAACAATTGTGCAACTGTGAACTTACATGTCGGAGTGGGAAAACAATCCAAGCTAGCTAATGTCAGAGGCTTAACAATTAGGCACAAAGTCATCCATTATTGATATTGTGACTGTGAAAACTAAATATGATGGTGTTTTTCAAACTAAATGCTTACTTTGTCCATGTTGTTGACTAGCTCTATAAAATCACACGAGGTGTTGGAATGAATAGCAAAGTCATGCTGGCATTCACATTTGTTTCAGGCACTCTGATGGGTGATCCAGTGGTAATGGTGAGCTTGTATCCTGAATTTCCTGAATCTGTGACGTCTAATTTCACCTCCTGTGGAGAGTTTGTGTTCTTACTGGATCGATCAGGGAGCATGGATTTCCCGACATATTGTGGAAGTCGCCAGAGTCGCATAGCCAGTGCCAAGGTCATCTTTTAGAAGAAACATTTTTATGATTTATGGCCCTCCAGTCATATCGTGGCATTTACGTTCTTTTCCTTTTCCTTGAAGGATACTCTGATGCTCCTGTTGAAGAGTTTACCCATGGGCTGCTATTTTAATATTTATGGTTTAGGCGATAGTTACGAACAAGTCTTCCCGTAAGTTTGGACAGTGCATACAGCGCTACTGCTATTGATTCCCCTGCTAAACATTCGCCAAAAGCCTTAAGATTAAAAAATAAAAATGTATATGGTGGAAAAATCTCCACTTTAATTCAACTAAATGTGTTTAGTTAGGAGAAACTCTTATTTTAATTAACAGTTGACACATTTATTGACATTTCTGCAGTTAATACTTTTCACGACCTGCATTTACTGTACCAGTAGGACTTTGTATTCTTTGGATATATATGTTTAATTTTCATTTTTAGGTGTGTATGATATTGCACACATACTGGAACTGCAGTTAGATTATTTTATTTTGAGGCTTTTTACACCTCTTTACCAGGACCAGTATATGAAGAAACAGTTTCATATGGACATTTGTAGATTTTCCGATTGAACATATCTACAGACTTGCAGTAAGTGTGCACCGTTTCTCCAACAGTAAAAGTGCAAAGTACAACCAGAAAAACCTTAAACGGGCTGTGAAAAAAGTTGAGGAGATGGGCGCAGATCTGGGAGGATCGGAGATCCTGGAGCCTCTGCGACAAATTTACAGACAGCCCTGCATTCCTAAACATCCCAGACAAGTAATGCACAAACACACATGGCAGCAAGCTGATGCTAGCAGGGAATTTTAACCATAGCGCAGTTCTCACTTACTGCAGGGGCATCAACTCTTTAAAGTATTCAAGAAATGTCTGAATGAACTGCAGACATGTAGAAAATTCTGTTGTCTTTTAAAGTATTGTTATTGCTTAATCTCTCTTCTTATTAAATTGCCTCTCTGATGCTAAAGCAGATCACTTTAAATCAGTAAAAACAGCAGTGTATTCATCAGCTGATCAAGCTGAAAATTTGCCAGTTCCAGGATTCCTGTATCGTGTCTAAAGTTTTTCATCTGAAAACATTTTTTTTCTTCTCTCTTCAGGTTATAATTTTAAATCGTTTCTCCTTATTTTTAGCTCTTCATCTTTACTGATGGTGAGGTGAATTACACAAAAGCTGTTCTGGATGAGGTGAAGGAACACTCTGAATTTCACAGGTAAACGCCACTGCAATACAATATTGTAGTACCAGTCAAATGTTTCTGTATTGTAAAATGTGGCAAATTTTACAAATGTGTAGAAAGCATTTATGCTTATTTCCTCTAGGTGTTTCTCTTTTGGGATTGGAGAAGGTGCCAGCTCTGAACTTATCAATGGGATGGCCAGAGAGGGAGGCGGACATGCTCAGTTCATTGTAGGGAAAGAAAGGATGCAACCAAAAGTGAGGCATAACTTGGAAATATTCTCATATTTTGTTTTTTTTTTCATTAAGAATCTTGTAATTTTATTTAGGTAGTTGTGTTTTTCTTTATTTAGGCAACTTCAGTGCATTAACAAATGCAGAACACTAAAAATGCAATTGGAAGATGGAATAAAAAAATAACAAACTCAGAACAATACAGGGCAAATTACTGGCATCGGCTCAAATAATAAATTGGAGGCAATCATTAGTTGCCTCCAATTACTGATCATTTTCTGGAAACAACTTCAGTTTTAATCTGAAAGTCTGCGTTTAGTTCCACAAGTCAGGAGACTCACATGGTGACTCTGTACACGAATGTTTTTTTTTTCCAGAAAAGTCACACAGTTCTTCCCAGATATTTACACACACTGCAAAAAAAGACAAACGATATTCAAAAAATAAACTTAAGGTCTGAAAATCTATTGAAATGTTTAAAGTCTGTTATTTTGTTTCACAAGAAACTTAATGTGACACCATAAGAGCCTTTCTGGTAACCTGAATTTATTTGTCAAAATGATAATCTCTCGCCATTCATGTCCTCAGGTGATGCAGTCCCTGAGATTCGCCTTGCAGCCGCTCGTCACTGACATTTCATTGTCGTGGGATTTACCCGAGGGTGTCTCCGTCACCACTCTGTCTCTACCACTTACAGCACTTTTCCAGGGTCAGAGGTCACTGATTTTTGCTCAGCTCACCGGAGAGGCAAGGAGCAACACAGTTCTGGGATTGACGACAAATGTGCTTTTTCTTTTCTAATCAAAGTAACACATGGATTTTCTGTTGTGCGTTCTCAGTGTTCTGAAGCAGCCGATGGCTGTTTGACAGTGAGGTTTACCACAGCGGGTCATCCATGTCAGAACCAGCTGCACTTCTCTCTACAGCCTGCATGTGATCTAGACTTTGACCAGAAAGAAGATATGCCATTCGCTCGGTAGTATATTAACAACTCTAGTGATAAAATGTTATGTTTAACAAATAATGGTTGCTTTTTAAATTTAAACGTAGACATAAAAATACACATTTATTTCCCCTCTAAGGGGAAATATTTTATTTTTTATTTGTTTTGTTTCCCTGCAGCTCCTCAATCCACAGGCTGGCTGCTCGTACTCTCATTCGCTCCCTGGAGCAGGAGCAGAGGGAGCACGGGAAGCCGGAAGAAATAGAGAAGGTGGTGGACCTCAGCGTCCAGTCTGGAGTCAGCAGCATCTTCACCGCCTTCATTGCCGTCAACAAAAGCAATGGGGAGCCTGTTCAAGGTCCGCTGATCTACAGGGAGAATCCTACATACAGTGAGTGGCTACATGGGGCTCAATCTGAAATGAGACATTTTTTAAATTGTTACATGTTGTGTGTTGAGTACATCATTTTGATCAGAGATCCTTTTGTTGGTACTTCCTGTTTCATGGGTGGAATGTAATGTTTTTTTTATTTTTTATCTAATGATGTGTAACTCTTTACTGTTTTCTGGTACAGTGCCACTGCTTCGTGGCGGTTTGATTGATCTGATGTTTGATGATTCATGGGGCGAAAAAAACAGTAAGTTTTAACCTTGTTTTGACATTTTAACCTTTTTTTTAAAAGGGATCAAACCAAATATTGTGTGTCTGACAGTCTGGGAATGTTAAAGAAATGTTTTTTTTTGTTTGTTTGTTTTTTTAATTTGATAAAACACGATGACTTTGAATTAATTTCTTCTTTCTTTAGTTTTCAGACGCATTTGCTCGTCTATCAGAAAAAGAACATCAGCTAGTAAGTTCGGTAAGTAACGAGGCCTGACATTTCTTCCTGTATATGGGGGATGGCCTGTATGTATTGTAACATTTTGACCTGCAGAGGGCACTATTGGATAAGTATCTGGCCTGTTGGACATTGGCTGTATTAGTTACTATACAGTTTCACCTTGCTAATTTAATTCCCTTATTCAGTTTGCATGTTACAGCAGATTGTTTCACCAAATGTGTCATTATCTTTATATGCATATTTTTTTATTTACAAATTCTGATTAAAGTAATTTTTTTTTAATCTATTTCTTATCTTCAGGAAAAGCTTGCAAAAACAATCTGTTTTCAGGTAAGCAACATATTTTTGACTCAAGAAATATACAGATACCAGATGTTTATTTAACACAGTAGCCAGTACTGAGAAGGTTTCTTAAATGGAAAATAAAAGTTTGATCAGAACCGGTCTTTCTAAAGCCAAAAGTTTAGATATTCCTAAATACGTTGGTGGTTGTTTTTTTTTGTTGTTTGTTTGTTTTTTTTATACAGTTTTCTTCTGTGCGGTGAATAAATTGTTGAACTCTATTTTTGGAATAATGCTTAAACTCCTTGCAATAACCAAAATTTGGTTGAAAAAAAAATATATGCAACATGTGGATTTATTTGTTAGTTTGTGCTTGCTAGTATTTATCTCACTAAATGCATGAAGTAATCACCTGAAAGGCTCATATAAATGTTCAAAGACATTGCCACATTCCCCTTATTTGGTGCACAAAAAATGAGTAAAAAGCCATGAAATAACTGCGTCTCTTTTTCTGCATAAGCTCAAACTGAAAAAACCTAGAAAAATCAACCCCTTAATTTAGGCAACTATCTATTGAGAGCGGAGGTAAAAAGTCCCTCAATAACAAGTAACTGGGTTTTGACAATGACAACAAAGATGGACATGGGCTCAGTATGTTTTTCAACCATGCATTGTAAGTTTACGTGTGTTGTAAAAATGATCTCATATTTGTTTTAAGTTTAAATTTAGTAAAACAGATTAAAAATTAACAAAGCGATTATATACATTTTTTCTGCTTTTTACCAAAAGCTTCCAGCTTCAAGAAGAACCAAAGTGAATCTATTGAAAATAGAGGTAAGAAAACAAGATGTTTTTGTTTGTTTGATGTTATAAATGCAATTTGCATTTACACTTTTAATTCTATACCAGCAAGCAGCAGGATGGATGTGTCCTTTTAACAACAGTCTCTGTAATCGCATTTTCATTTTAAGGTGCTGCACTTTTTATTTCAACTTTTGATATTCTCTTCAAAAACGTCTTTTTGCGATAAAGGAGACTGTGAGCCCACAGAGCCAGCCAGAGATCCGCTGCTGGAGCTCGTTTCGCTGCAGGATGCCTCTGGCTGCTGGCTGCTTGATCCATGTTTGGCTGCTGCTCTTGGAAAAAGCATAGAGGAGTTGGTAAAAACAAGGCCTTCATCGGTGGGTTGGCGTCACGTAAAAGACGAGCTGTATTTGAGCAGCAAAATGAAGCATGCAATTTTACAGCATAAGCACAAGGAAAATAAAATAAAATGCACTTAAACAACCTTTTCTTTTCTTTTAAGTAGGCCAAAAGGAAAGTGTGGGGCACCATTTTGGCTCTAATTTGGCTTCATGGACATCAAAAAGATGTGAAGGTCGAATGGGAACTTCTTGCTATGAAGGCTGCCTCGTGGCTCAGAGCTGAGAAAGGTAACCGCTGTCCCTAAACATAAACACCAGATTTAATTTCCTTCTTGGCACACCTGCACTGATGTTTGACCTTATTGAAACGCCAACTTATGTTTTCTTTCCTCAGCTGTTGGCGTGACGGTGTGTGTGGAAGCTGGGAATGTCCTGTTGGGTTGTAATGTGACGACTGACGCTCTGGGACTCTGAGGTTGCTGTATCATTTGTTCCAATGAAGGGAACACCTGTGATTCTGCTACAGAAACAAACTCACTCCATCACCAGATACCTGAATACCTCCACACTCCACAGTTGCGTAGTCCCTTAAAGTTGTTTATATTAAATGACTATTCAAAAACTCCACCAGTAACTAAGCTTAAGTTCTTTGCTTTCCTTCCCCTCTCAACTTTTCCTGCACAATCAGCCGGATTTCGAGTCATGCGTCTGAGGTCGCAGTCAGGTTATCCGACTCCGGTCGTTCAGATCTCAACTTGCCTTTGTCATCTCTGTTGTCCCCGGAGAGCTCCGTCCCTCGGCCCCTCCTCTTCATCACTTGCATCATCCCCGCTGACAATAGTTCATAAATTTAACACCTGTTTTCATGATTTTGCACCCTGTTCTACCAATCTAGTAAATCTAACTCCATTCTTCCAGCATCATTTTCTATCCAAACCAAGTGAAATCTTGGTTCACTTCAGACTTAATGACGATAAAACTGAAATTCTCCTCGTCTGTACGAAATCTAAATTATCTCTCTCACCATTAACAACTCTTACATGTTCCTCTCCCCTCAGCTTTAAGAGTTGGGGTGCCATCCTTGACAGCACATTATCTTTCCAATCTCATGTTAATAATCTTGCATATTTCCATCTCTGTAACATAAATTGCCTGCGCACTTCCCTTTCCCCTGATGCTGCATCTGTATCAGATGCAAAGAACAAAACACCTGACATAGTCATTGCAATAGCAACTATTATCCAAAGGTTTTCTAGTAATTTGCAGCTCTAGATCAACTATGTCCATTTTTATGCATTTGCTGTCTTGGTTTACCTCTATGTGCGCCTTTAATTATTCTGTGGCTGCACTGATTGATTTCATTGGTCTGTATTTTCAATGTAGTTGGAACAAAAAATAAAGAGAACCTACACTTCTTGGGGGAAAAAGCATTCCTTATTAGCAATGAGAAATTCTGTCTCTAAAAATTTTTCTTCAAAGCAGGTCTGCCTGTCACGTATTATTATTTCTAAAGTGTGCAGTGACTCCTAAAATCAGAAGCAACATGTCGCAGCATCTGAGATTGCTTTCTTTGTACTTTCTCTCAGATTTCTTTTCTTTGAAAAGTCGACTTTGAACTATATTTGCATACAATGGAAAACAAGAGACAGGAACATCTGAAACACGTTTTACTGACATAAACCAGAGTCCAACCTCCCCTCTGTTTGGGGTTTCAGACGACACAAGCAGATACTGAGTGACGAGAGTAATGAAGGTTTGGCTGCAGCATACACAACACCTGATGTCAAAATGAGAGAAATTCCTTTTTATTATTGGTTTTGCACCTTCTTGCTTGAACTTGGACAAGATCAATAATCAATTATAAATTTAAGTCAAGATGATGAATGATTAAGACAAAGAGATGGACACAACCAAATGATGATTATATCTTGATCTTGATTACAAAGATATCATCATAATAATAATTGTTAATACTATTAAATCAACCTCACAACTGAGCAATAGTTGGACTCTGTAGAGAAAAGAAGACACAGCGGAGCCTGCTGGAGCGTACTTCCTCCTACACAAGGTCATTGCTGCAGAATCTGGAGCAGTAAAGCTGCAGCTCTGAGAAACATATTTCTTAAAGAACAGAAAATAAAACAAGAAAGCTTTATATTTCACAAGTTGAAATGCAGCACACTTAAATTATGTAAATTTGGTGTCATGCTGCTTTGGCAGAGGAGGTGTATTAGGAAGGCAAAATTTGCTGTTGGGAAGTACGTTTAGTGTCACTCTTTATCTTTGCAGCAGTCCACTGTTATAATAAATTGTATCAAAGGTGCAGATTGTAAAATGTAAAGGATGGAAGAAGATAAAGCAGAGGAAAAGTGCATACTAATACAGAGCTCTAATGCAAAATGTTAACATGCATCAGCCGTTACGTTTTATTCTGAATCAGAATCGAAGATAATTTCCTGCATTTTAAATGGCTGATCTTTACAGAAGTATGGGCTCACCCAGGGTGCCATTAATTCAAGAAACTGCAGTTTTATATGATTTATACCTCTTCTCAGGTTTACATTGAATGGTCTGAAAATGAAAACATCCAGTGAGCAGCAGTTGTGTGATTGAAAATGTCGTATTGATGTTGGAAAAGAATGTGAAGACTAGTTCAAGACGCTTGAAAGGCAACAGAAACTAAAATTACAAATGGTGCTTCCTCCAATGAGCATTGATCCCAGTATTTCAAATTCAACTAGTAAGGTGAGAAATGGGCAGTGCTGCTGCAATAGTGTGGGGACTGTTTTCTTCAGACACTTTTAGAGACATTAGTATCAACCGATGTTTTAAATTATTCAGACTACCTGTGTTTTTTTTGTTTTGTTTTTTTTTACTCACCGTCTCCATCCCTTTATGAACACAGTGACCATCTTCTGATGACTACTTCCAGCAGGATAATGCACCATCGTGTCAGAAAGCTCAAAACATGTCAAACTGGTTCCACAAGCAGAATAGTTCACTTCATTCCAATGACTTCCACAGTAACCACATCTCAATCCAACAGGGAATTTCTGGGACATTTTGGAACTGGAGATTCATTTCAAGGAAGAGAAACTAACTGGTAAATGTGAAGAAACTGATGCCCTGCTGAAGCCATGCAATGAAGATTCAGGAAGTTGCGAAGGCAAAAGGAAATCAAAGACTGCACTTGCAGGGTTTGATGTTTTGATTATGTCAAGAAAAACTATCTACATGAAAGAAGGGCCTATAAATAATTGGGCATATAGGCTATGGCAGGTGCCGTCAGCTTGCCCTGACTAGGCTTCTGACACATCACTTGTTCATAAGACAGATTTGGGCCTATGGGGGAGACTTGTTACTATGGCAAACACCATGTAGCAGTGATACCAGCTGTCACAATCCAACACCTGCCAACACTCCTGTGGTTTGGATCATAAAAATAGTTCTTCAATCTGTACAAGTAATGTATGGTTTGGGTATTCTCCTTTCTTTCATGCAAGTCCTTTTTATTATTATCTCTATTCAGAGAAGTTTGAGTTCATGTCCTCTGCAAACGTTGGATCTGGAACATTATTGACTGAAAACAAAACAAATGATTTCACTGTTCAGCAACATGGTGTTCTGTGTGTTAACTGCTCTCTGTCTGCATAAATGGTACCATACTGGCTCCAAATGGTCACTGCAGCTAATTTTATCTGAACCTTTAGCAGAACTCAAGCCAGCACTTTTTAAACTGGTTTCCAAGACAACGCCAACCAGTTGGACCAATTAGAACAAAGGAGGCCTAAGAATTAAGCTGTGTGGAAATCGGGGGAATGGGGAGGGGGAAGCGTTCTCAAAATTAATTCAACAAATAAAAAAAAAAGTGTGCTTTGGACAAAGAATGACTAACACCATGTGAGTATTCACCTGCTCTGCTTTTCTCTATTAATTAAGAAAGATTTCATTAAACCAGCTATCCGCGCTTGCTTTTTCCTCTCTCAGTCAGACTTCTCTGTCCATGCGTGTTGCTAGAGCTGCAGGCAAAAAAACAAAAAACAGAATCAATAAGAAACAGTTTAAAGGGGCTGATGTATTTTTTTCTGTTTAGAACCATTAATGGAAAGCTGTAGCCTCTGAGCTCCACATCAGTCACATGCCAACCACATGCATGTGTATGTGCAGCTGAACTGATAGTTTTTGTATTGCAAAAGGGAATCCACTTTATTGAATAAAACACAACCATTATCCCATGGTGTTAGCTGCTTGAGAGTGTGTGCCACTGACCCTGTGTGTTAGATATCAGAGTCACTGACCTTTAGAGTTAAACCCTTTCAGCACAATCTTCTGAGGTGAAAGCAGTGAATTCACCAATCCTGAAGAAAGTCGCATCATGTTCACTGTGTATAGTTTTAGTATTTTCAGAATATTTGATGTTTATTTACCTTTAAAACATGCTAAGCACATAAAAAAAAAACCTTTGTAACTCCCATTGCATAAAACACATGCTATAAAATACTTACCATGCCTTAAATTGTATCTATACTCCTTCAACATCTCTAAATGTATCTAAATGTATGTTGCATTTTACTGGTATTTGGTGTTACAGACCATCACACAGTAGTGCAGATTTATGAAAAATAGAAAACCGCATGGTTTTAAGCTTTGTTTTCCTTTTTTTTCCCCACAATTATGAATCTGAAAAATGTGGAACAGGTTGAGAGAGTGGTGTAGTGGTGAGATATTTTTTTTTTCGTGCAACCAGCCACCTGCAGCACTTAAAAGCATAAACAAGACCCAGAAAATAAAACTAAAGCAAATGTAAAAAACAGAATTCAACTTTGAAGCATTGTTTGGCCAACAACAGGAGGTTAGTATCTCACACTTTGAACACAGTCACAAACCTACCAAAACAATAGAACCTGCTGTGACAGTTGTCATTCAGTTCAGGTCTGGATGACGGCCAGCTAAAGGCTGGGAAAAAACTTGAAAGCGGGGCAACAGATTACTGCCCATTAGGACAATAATTGAAAACTTTGAGCCACAGTACAATGAAATGTTTCATATCAAAGCGTACCGATGTGCTAGATAGAATGCCAGTCAAAGTCCGGATTTAAATGCAGGGATAAAACTTGACAGTCACAGACACCCCCCATACACTCGGACTCAGTTTGAGCTGTTTTACAAAGGAAAAATGACTAAAACCTGTCTTTAGATGTGAAGAGCTCAGAGGAACAAACTCTGCAAGACTAGCAGGGGAAATCATAGTAGAAGGATGTTTTACAAAGTACTAAGTATTTAAAAACAACACTAGTGTTTTCCATCCACTCGTCTGTACGTATGAGAGCAAAGAGAAAGCAGGGATATGTTATTAGATTGGATCTTTTTTAAGTTTCACACCAACAATCTGAAAACTAAGAGCATTAAAGTGTAATAGCTTTGTGGAAATTAACGTTTTAGGCTATTTTTTTTTTCTTCTTAGGGCTGAAGGTGAACCTACCACTAAACTTTAGCTTAGACTCGTGTAATAAATAATGAAACCAATTGAATCTGTTTCATGTTTTGATAGATTAACATTAAATCTAAGAACCTGGTTAAGACCACAATAACACATTGAAACACTGGAATTGATGGAGCCTGTGCTTTGTTTTTGCCATGTCTGCACATTAACATATAAAGAGGCTAATGCGATGTTTTTGTCTGTCAGACAACGATGCATCTTGTCACAGGTTGTGATATTTAAACTTTTCAGTGCCCTTATCTCTTCCTCCCTCTGTCCTTATTTATTTCCTTGTCCACCAACTCTGTTTTGCTCATTTAGTTTGTCCTTTTCTGCCTTTGCCTAAAACATAACCTGCCCTTTTCTTTTCTCCCAACTTCAGTTTTTTTTTTCCTCTGTTTTTCATCATTTGGCCTTAAAAGGCTTTAAAGGAGTTAGGCGTAGCCCTCTCCATGGTAACACTGTCTCCAATTCTTTCACACACACGCACACACACACACACACGCACACACACACGCACACACACACACACACACGCACACACATTTTCTCACTGTCTCTCATCTCATGATGCTGCCCTACCCTGTGCTTCATTGCTGTACCCACCCCCTATATGTGCTCCGTTTCCCCTCACTCTCTCTCCCTCTCTCTTCTTGTTTCCCACAGATATACACACTCACCATCTCTTTCTCCTTTTTTCTGCTCTTCTGCTGATGCTGCAGCATCCACTGACTGCGAGATGTTCAGTCCAGCTTCTAAAGGATCCGCAGGGGACTCAAGGTAAAGCTTTCACACTTGTTTCCTCTGGAATAGAAACGAAGCGAAGATGTTAATGTTGATTTTTTTTTTTTTTTTTTGGTGCTGTTGTTGGCTGGTGACCACAGCTCTGAGGAAGCCAAGTGACTGATTGAAAGTGTGTGTGTGTGTGTGTGCGTGTGTGTGTGT